CAACACACATACACAAGCATGTGATGAGAACCCAGGACAAAATAATTCAAAAGTTGGCCTTTTTCATACAGAATTTGTATCTTGCATGCATATAGATGCATGATCGATCAATCTCGAAATTCTTTCTGTACAGAGGTATAATTTAAAATCCTCCACCAATCTAATGGGTAGCTCAATACACTTAGTGCACAAGGAAACATACAAAGATAACTAATTGTAGCAAAAAAAACATAAGAGGATATGTGTTTACCTGGACGGATAAATATGGGAAAAACCACAAAAAGGAGGGGCACCCAATTGCCCGACTTTCTTTAAGAAAAAGTGAAAATTGGTCAACAGAGCTTCTTAATGTTGGAGTCTCTGGGATGGGCATAGGCACTGTAAGGAAATGAAGAGTAGTATAACTTCATTGACACCATACACGAAAATGAAATAAACTTCAGAATGGAGCACATAGTCATTGGTACCACGAAGGCAAGTAACAGAAAATGGCATGGCATGACATGAATGTAACAGAATAGCATGACGTCCTATTTTAATTATAAATTCAGCAAACACTAAACTTCCATGCCGAATCAATCAACTAGATTTTGTACAATTACTTGCAGGAATCCGTCTAAATCAGGTCATACAAGTGCGATCGAGACAATATCTAGCAAGATTCAGGAGTGAATTCCGTCTTCTTTAGTCAGTAAGAATTAACTAATACAAGTAGAGAGATTAGGTCCAAGAAAAAGAAAGAAGCACTAACATTGAGGTAACAACTCTGAAATGGTCTTCAACTTCTTGAGTTGCAGAATGAGTAAAGGCAACAACGCTAATCTGACAGCAACAGTAGAAGATGCAATAATCATCCACCAAGGCAACCCTGTAAACTCATGGAACCCGTCGAGAAAGTGAACGACGGCGAGAACCGGCAAAGAAGAATCATCACCGCAAGGGATTTCTTGAGGACCGACAATCGGAAATCCTGGCCCAGAAGAGAACAATCGACGGGGAGAGGAGAAACACGGCGGAGCAGGGGAATGAGACGGAGAGGAGAGGGGATGGGCGTTGAAG